TCCCCGTTCGCCGCTGCCTTGCCCGCCCGGAAGGCGCAGAGCTGAGGCTTCCCTCTAGAGCAGCCCACGCCTGCGGGGGAGAGCGCTCCCAGCTTGGGCTGGAAAATAGCTCAGACTTCTGTGCTGCAAAACCCTCGAGCTTTCCTGCAGGGTGCATAAAAAAGCCCCAACCACCAAAACAGGGTGTTTTCTCCCACTTCTTTCCCCTCCTTCATCTCCGTGTAGCACAATAAACCTGCCCGGGATGGCCTGGGCTGGCAGCAAGAGCCATGCGCATCCCGGGGCACATGGGGCATCCCTGCCCGCCCTGAGGTGCTGCCCCAGGGAATGCCCTGCTTGGGAGCCGGTGGAAAGGCTGAGCAGGAGCTTGGGGCAGGGCTTTCTTTCCTGGTCACGTGTATTTTTATGGCAGGGAGGTGTGAGGATGGGCACCGACGTGGGCTGGGGAGGGGTAGAGGTGCTGTTCCCTACGCTGCAATGACCACGAGGTACAAGTGTGAGGCTAATGATGCTTTGCATCTACTCCTTCCCCTTTGGAGCACCTGCTCTAGAAATCAGGCTTTTTCTGAACATCTGATAAATACCACAAAAAATGTAATGACTTCTTTTTTTCCCCAATGCTTTGTGCAGCATAAACTTTTCCTGCCAAAGACGGCTCTTTATAGGCACCAGACCTGGCTGTCTGTGCCTATGGAACTAAAGACAGGGCTAGGAAAACCATGTGCCGATGGAGATGACTTACTCTGCCGTACGTGAAAGGGGCTGGTGGGTGCTGACAGCATCCACCCCAGCAGGACGGAGCTGGGCTGTCTGCCCGGTGGCCAGTGGCACAGCCAACTGCTGGCATGTGGCATCGGCACATCCCCTGGTTTTAGCTGGGCTTCTACACGAGGTGATACCCCTAGTGAAATCTCAGTGCAGCTTCAGAGGCTCCTCCAGCACTAGGCAGCTCTTTTTAGGGTAAAAGTTTCTAGTTGCAGCAATTTTCTTCCCCTTTAGGGTTACTAATTTCCTCCTGGGAGCGGGTGGGTTGGGAGGCAGTGCCGTGACTCACCAGCCACGCCAGAGCTTCGTGCTGACGCGCGCTGTGGCTCTCGGGTTGGCCTCTCCCCCCCCACAGAGGGAAAGGTGCTGCCCCTCCGCCTGGCACAGCCAGGGGGTCCCACAGGCACCCTGAGCCCCTGGTTTTGCTGCTCCAGGCGCACTCCCCATGGGAAGGGCAGGATATTTATTCTTCCCTTGGGCGAGCAGTGTGACAATAT